TGCTCTCTGAGCTCCAGGCCCAGAGAATGATTTGGAGATCAACAGTGAAGTCCACAAATCCTAATTCTGAATTTTACAACCTCTCCCCTGACAGTTACCTAACTTTGTTTCCAGCTTTCTTTACCCACTTCTTCCATTCTGAAAGACTTCTGGATCATTCACTAAAGCTGCCTTCCAGATGTCTTGTGGAGTTGGCATCAGGGCCAGGCAGCAGAGGGATTTCACACATTCTGTGTGGCACACAGTGGGAGTCACAGGGAGGCCTATACCAATTCCATACAACTGTTAAAAATAACCATTACGGAAATGCATGGCTTCTGGAAGGAGTGAGCTTCCTATTACCAGAGGTATACAAGCCCTGTTCTATAGAGGCATGAGTTCAAGAAATGGTGGTTGTTTTTATGATTATTAATTTAGGGTGTTTTTTAAACATTTATTTATTTTTAGTAATCTGTATACCCAACACAAGGCTCAAACTCATGACACCTAGATGACTCTTGAGTCATAGGTTCTTCAGACTGAGCCAGTTAGGCACTCCTAATTTAGGGGTTTTAAACCTAAGAGCAGAGGGGGAGGCATAGATGGGAGAAGGAAGTAAACAGAAGCAAGGGATCAGATTACGATGGGCTCCAACAAAGTTCTCTCTCTCTCTCTCTCTCTCTCTCTCTTTATTTATTTATTTAAATGTTTTATTTATTTCTGAGAAAGAGAGCAAGAGCAGGGGAGGGGCAGAGAGAGAGGGGACAGAGGATCCAAAATGGGCTCCTCCCTGACAGCAGTGAGCCCGATGCAGGCCTTGAACCCACAAACAGTGAGATCATGACCTGAGCCAAAGTCGGAAGCTCAATTGAATGAGCCACCCCAGGCGCCCCAAAGTACTCTCTTTTTAAAAGTGAAAATTCTTTGAGCTTTTATTGAACAGGAAGTGGCAAGAAGGTTCCTCTTCAGCTGGGCATCAAATATACCTCTCCTATTAATCTGCCTGAGAGAGGTGACTAGGTGTCCACACTCAGGGTCCATGAATAGATATTTCTAATACCTCCATTTTTGCTAAGAGGACTGGGGGCTCAGAGAGGTTAAGTAATTTGCCCAAGGTCACATTGCAACTGAGTAGACAAGGGAACAGCCAACCCCAACCATTGTAAAACACTGAAAGTACTTAAAAACTAAAGCCCATCTAGTTCAGTGGTTCTCAAACTTTGCCCTAAGAACAAGCTAAAACTAAACTGCTTGGGTGGTTTTTAGTAACTTACACGTTAACAAAATACCTCTGGAGATGCAGGCAGGTGTGAGTTTGATGGTGGTGAAGCCCCAGATCCTAGAGTCCCACTCTAAGGTTTAATGTCCTGTAGTACTTACTATACTCATTAGTTTTCTGATTTTCCATCTGGAAAATGGTGATATTAATAGCATGAGTTGTAAAAAACTCTTGAGTTGAATACAATATATTCAATATAATAAAATAATAAACAATGAAATCATTTCACATATTTAATATAACCTATAATATGGGGGGCCCTGGCTGATTCAGTCTGTGGAGCATGCAACTCTTGATCTTGGGTTGTGGGTTTAGGCCCCATGTTGAGTATAGAGATTACTTAAAAATAAAATTTTAAGGGGCGCCTGGCTGGCTCAGTCAGTAGAGCATATGACTCTTAATCTCAGGGTCATGAGTTCAACCCCCATGATGGCCATGGAGCCTACTTAAAACAATATTTAGGAGCACCTGGGTGGCTCAGTTGGTTAAGCGTTGGACTCTTGATTTCGGCTCAGGTCATGATCCCAGGGTCATGGGATGGAGCCCCACATTGGGTTCCACGCTGAGCATGGAGCCTGCTTGAGATTCTCTATCTCTCCCTCTGTCCCTCTCCCCTGCTCTCAATCTCTTTCTCTCAAATTAAAAAGAAGAAATATTTAAAAAAATAAAATAGGGGTGCCTACGTGACTCCACCAGTTAAGCACTGGATTTTGGCTCAGGTCAGTATTTCACAGTCTGTGTATTTGATCCCCGTGTCAGGCTCTGTGCTGACAGCCTATAGCCTGCTTCGGATTCTGTGATTCCCTCTCTCTCTGCCCCTCCGCAGCTCATGTTCTATCTCTCTCTCTCTCTCAAAAATAAATAAACATTTAAAAAAAAAAGAAAATTAAATTTAAAAAGTAAATAAATTTTTAAAGAATCTTAAAATAAAAAACTTAAATATATAACGAGTATATAACAATTTTAATAAAATATATCAATTATATGTAATATATATTAAATCATACATGTTATATTTGTATATTATGTACTTATTTACAATATATAAATTACTTAATAATAAAGGGTTTAAAATAGCACTTGTCATTAGTAAGCACTACTTAAGCATTAGCTTTTTTTCACTCCATCTTACCAGGAGCTTGCTACCCGATCTCCAAGGGCAGCTTGGGCCATCTTTGGTCAGCCCTGGGCTGTGCCCACAGCCACAGCGGGAGGGTGCAGCAACATTTTCAGTTGGAGCTCTATAGGCTCACGCACAGAGTTGACTGAAAAAATTCTATTTGGATTTTTTTTTTTATATAAACTCCCAAAGGCTGAGAGCACACGTCCCTGGCCCCTAGGGGGAGCTACGCGTGGAGTATGGAAGCACTGCCGGGCTGGGCAGCTTGGGTTTCAAACAGGATTCTCTCTCTAATGGTTAGTCTGGGATGGAGTTGGTGCATCTCAGGTCCCGGCTGGTGGGGAAAAGTTACTAACCACAGGCCCTTCAGGGCTATAGGACCTAGGGCCGGAAGCAGGGATTGCCCAGATGCCTCCCCTCCAAGTCTGGATAATATTTTTATTTTTTCTGCTCTGTGCATGTGGTAGGATTCAAACTGCAGAGAATTAGAAGGAGGGGGGAGGGGCATGATGGAGGAGTTGGAGGAAGGAAACGTGGCCTCATCCCAACTCCAAAGCCCCCTGCTAAACTGCCACTCCCAGATCCCATTGTTCCTTCTAAATCAGCAAATCTCTCCTTCCAGCTTCCAGCCTCTTCCCCTTTCAGACGTGGCCTCCCTCAGGCCCCACCAGCTTCCAAATGTTGTGTGTACCCAATTCTGTCTGAGCAAGGATTCTTCAGACCCAAGCACATCTTATTCATTAAACATGCTTCAAATAGGAGTTTCCTGTGCACCTAATCCCGTGAGAGTCCCTGGGGTGTTGACAAAGTGACTTAAACAGACACCAACTTTGCTCTCAGGGTGCTCATTGGCTGGGGTGGGGACAAGGACAAACAGGTCAATACATAAACAAACTAGGTGATTTCAGATACTGTAGTAATCAGAATTCCAAAAGAAATAAAGTAGGGTGAGATGATGGAATATGAGATAGGGGCTACTTTAGACAGAAAGGAAAGGTCTGTCTTGGGAGGTGGCATTTGAACACAGATGGTAAGAAGGAGTAACAAGTACAAAAACCATCAAAGAAACAAGCCCAGTGAGGTGAGATTTCAAATTCCAACTTGCCTAGTCTTCAAGAAAACGCCCAGAAAGGCCTCTGAGGAATCCCAGAGACTTTGGGGAGGAAGGGGCCTTAAGGTTTATCCCATAATGTGGGGGGGTGTGGAGGAGCGCCCTCTAGTGGTGACAATAGTTAAATTTCATCATCGCTGACCTGGAATGCCACATGCCTGTGATTTGACTGGGCTAATTATGAGCTTCACTCATCACTGTCTCTCCCACATCTATTCATTCAACAGATACTTACTGAGCGCCACCTACGTGCCTAGTGCTATTCTAGATACTGGGGTACACTTGTGAACCCGACAGTAAATGTCCCTGTCCTCCCAGAGCCTAGACCTCTAACCCCACCTCACCTCTGCCTCCACTTCAGGGTCTTTGCACTTGCTATTGTCCCCTGAATACAGGCTCCTGGCTTTTTGCATCGCTGGCTCAGGTCTCATTTCAAATGTGACCAAGTCAGAAAAGTGTAAACTTATTAATTTATTGCCTGTTGTCCCCACTAAAATATGATTCCAGTAAGGTTACCATTTTCCTGGAATCCCTCAGTCTCGCACTTACTAGGCGCTCAGTAAACAGTTTCTGAATGGGTTTGAGCATTCATTCATTCAAAAAATATTTATCGGGTGCCAGCCAACCTACTACACATCAGACGCTGGTGACCCGTCAAGTGAACGGATTGATTGAACAAAACAGACCAAAACTCCCCGACCACAGCATTCTTAAATAAAAATTGCAACCCGGGCACTACTCATCCCCTTTACCCTGCTTTTTTTTTTTTCCCCCGGATACATTTATCACCCTCTAAACTATCATAATTTTACTCCTTGGTGTTTGTGTGTCTTCCCTCTGTAATATAAGCGCCACGAAGGCAGGGGATTTTGTCCATGTTGTTCACCCCTGAGCGACTAAACAAGTTGGCACCTGGTAGGTGCTCAGTAAGTAAAGACCGAATGAACTCTAGACCTCAGCCAGCTTTTTCCTACAGACCTTGAGCCACTTAGTTCCAAGGGGGAACGGGCCTCAGGAGGTGCCGAGAGGTGACCTCAGGTGGCCCGACCCAGGAGTCCGAGCTCTGGGCGAGGGGCCATCGGGGCAGCTGAGACGGGAGGCGCGGGCAGCGAGAGCTCGACACGGCCCTGAGGGCCTGGAGAGCTGCCAGAAAGAGGAGCAAAGGCTTGTAGCCCGCGTCGGAGACGGTGGGCGGTGCCGTCGGAGGGCACGAGTCACATGACTTGCGCCGGTACCTCCCACCTCCTCGTGGGCGGGGTGTCAGGAATGGGCGGGGGCCATGCTAATGAGCCCAAGGGGGCGACCAATCGCGGCGCGCGCCGAGGGTCCGGACCAAGGATCTTGGACGCCGGCTAGCGCGCAGGCTCGCGTCGGGGCCGCCCCGGGCTTTTGCAAGCGGCGCGGCGGGCCTGCGAGTTGGGGCTGCAGCAGCTTCCTCGACCTGCCTCTCGTGCTTGGCGGCCGTCTGGGTCAGGCCCGGCCCGCGCGGGGGGCAGGCGGCGGCTGCCTCAGGCGGAGGCGGAGGTGCGGCGGAGGGTGGGGGCCGCTGCCTTCGCAGGCGCCCGGGCCGGCCCGCGCCTTTGCACGGTGCTCCATGCATCCGGAGCCCGCCCCGCCCCCGAACAACAACAGCCCCGAGCTTCCCCTCAGCGGCGGCAGCACCACCAGCGGCAGCCGCCGGAGCCGCCGCCGCAGCGGGGACGGGGAGACCCCGGGGTCGTCGCCGCCGCCAGCCGCCGTCACCTACCCGGACTGGATCGGCCAGAGTTACTCCGAGGTGATGAGCCTCAACGAGCACTCGATGCAGGCGCTGTCCTGGCGCAAGCTTTACTTGAGCCGTGCCAAGCTCAAAGCCTCTAGCCGGACCTCTGCTCTGCTCTCCGGCTTCGCCATGGTGAGCTCGGGCCGCCCTGCCCTGCCCCCTCTCCTGTCCTGGCCGCTCCCGCCCGCAGCCCCGACGGTGCCCACAGGGAGCAAACTGGGCGGGCCGGGAGGGCAGGGGATGCGGGAAAGATCTGGGAGAAAGGTGTTGTGGACGCTGGGGGGTGGGAAGTCCAGAGTGCTGGACGTGAGGAAAAGTGGGCGACAAGTGACACCTGGTGTGGTAGATTGGGTGTCATAGAAATTGTCCAGGGTTGGGGGGCTCAGGTGCCTTCAAATGGGCAAGTTTGATGCAGCAAGTAGGGAGGAAAGAGCAGTATCTTAGAAGTGGATCTGTAAGAAGACAGTCCCACATATGTTCAGGGGGAAAGGAAGGACGGAAAGGGTGTGATCTCCTTGGGAGCAGGTGTCAAGAGGTGGAGAGGGACCCTCGAGCTGTCTCTCACGTGACCTCATACTTGAGGCCAAAAGGTATTGGCCATGTCCTTTTATCACCTACTGGAGGGGATTTCCTGACAACCTTTCTCTCACTGCATTTTCCGAGAGCCTCAGCCTGGGGTTTTGACAACCGCTCTCCACCCTCAGTCTACTCTTCAGAAACTTGCCACTGAGTCACTGGGTGTGGGGGAGGCCGGTGGGACATATTGCCCATGAATGGGCTTTCAGCTGATCTGGGGGGTCAGGCATAGTTTCCTCTTCCCATGCCAGGCTGGGCTGCAGCGAGAAGCCTCTGAGAGCCGGTGTAGGTGAGGCTGCAGGTTGGACCAAGAAGTGGCCCTGAGGATGCCTTCAGGCCTGGAGTCTCCCAGGGCGGGGCCTACAGAACAATTCCTGATTATCACTGTGTGACATCAACCGGTGTGAGTGGGGTCTCCCCCCCCCCAACAAGGTCCCTAGCCCAGAGCACTCCCGCCTCCCCAGTGAGTGAGCTAAGCTCTTGGCCTTGAGGGAGGGAGTGGCTGCACACTCGTGTTTTCTTGGGAGTGTGTCTGGTACTCTCCCTGTGTTCCACAAACAAGTGGGCCGACGCAATGGAGCCTGAACTTTTTAGAAGCCCTGAGCAAGCCCAGAGCACACGGAGCCTCAGTGGAAAAGCCAGGTAGTCCGGTGGGGAAGAGCTCTCCCTAGGTCTGCCACTGCCTGGGTGACCTGAGACACATTTCTCTCTGGATCTTGATTTCTGAATCAGTAAATGAAGGCTGCTATTTAGAAGTATCTCGAAGAATTAGGGGTGCCTGGGTGGCTCAGTCGGTTGGGCATCCGACTTCAGCTCAGGTCATATCTCACGGCTCCGCTCACGAGTCGCAGCCCCTTGTCGCCCTCTGTGCTGACAGCTCAGAGCCTGGAACCTGCTTCGGATTCTGTGTCTCCCTCTCTCTCTGCCCCTCCCCCACTTGTGCTCTGTTTGTGTTTATAATGAATAAACATTTTTAAAAATTAAAAAGAAAAAAAGAATTAAATCGAGGAAGCCCTTGAGAGGAGATGAGAGAATGTGTGTGTTTGTGTGAGGGAGTGGCACCCTAGTGTTTAGTTTAGGTCATATGATGGAATTCTGTTCTGTCATTCCCAGATCCTTGGAGACAAGTCTGAGCCTTTTGCCTGAAGAATCTTTAAGACTAGCTGACATTTACCAATCACTCACCCTGTACTAGGCATCCTGTAGGTTCCCTAAACTTCCACACTAATTCCTCAACTACCCTTTCAGGTGGTTTTGCCACGGAACTTTCCCAAGGTGATACGGTACTCTACTAGAGCAGGATTTGAACCTGAGTCTGCAGGCTCAGAACTGTCTTGGGCACTTGTGCCTTTTGTGGGTATGTGGAGTTCTGACCAACGTCCAGCCAGGGACATGTTCGACCAGGACTCCTGGGAGATGGGAAATAGAGCAGGAAAGTTTCTTCTAAGCAAAATAAAAACGTTACAGTTTGGGGGCAGGGCGTGACACCATTAGCTTCTCACAGCTGTGCACTGGATTTAAGATGGTGGCATACCTGTTCCCCTTTTTCTTGGGGTCATAAATTCATAACTGCCCAGCCCCCCTTCCCACTTCGGGAGAACTGAGGATCTAATGGGTAGCACTTTCCTGCCCTCTGGAGTCCTGTTAAGCCTGGAGAAGCTAGCCTCTCAATCAGATGGCACCTTCCTCTTCCTCCTGCTAAGAATATGGTGCAGGAAGTCAGGAAGCAGGGCAGCCAGTGGCATTGGGTGGGCCTTGGCTCATCCAGACTATATCTTGGGGACCTGTATTTCCCTGGTCAGGGGGTGCCTGGCTGGCTCAGTTGGAAGAGCATGCCACTCTTGATCTCGGGGTTGTGAGTTCAAGCCCCATGTTAAGTGTAAAGATTACTTTAAAAAAAAAAACTACAAAAGAAAAATCTTTATATTTTCCCTGGTCAGGGTGGAGAAGGCTTCCTGGCTCCACAGATGAACTCCCCAAAGTTCTTCTGACAGGGAGGGGTGAGCCCCATCACAGCCTGTGTTCTGGGACAGTGGTTACAAGGGGGCAACTGTTGTGAGTCTGTAAATCTATGGGAGAAATGGAGTTGGCCTGGACAGACAGATCGAAGAGGCAGGCAGGTCTACCTTGCTCCACTCCCCACTACAGACACCCAGCCTTGTGAGTGAGCCTCTGAGAGGAAGGGGTGCCACACAGCCCGGCACCATGGAAACAGTGGCAAGTTTCCTGGACTACTCTCCCTTGGCCCGTGAGTCAGCACAACCAACTTCCTGCCCCCAGAGGGCTTCCTTCCTAGAGACATGGAAAACCAGAGGCACTGATGTGACCTCCGATCTCCAAAGGTAGGAGAGTTGGCAAGGCTACCAGGCTCACCTGCTCAGCAGGTGAGATTGAGGGAGGGTCTCTGAAGAGCCCGGAGGGGATTGAGAGACTCCCCCCCTTGTGGGCCGAAGAGCCTGGCCAGGTGCCCTGATGTGCTGGGGAGATAGGCTGCAGGATCTCAGATAAGCGGCTTATATTCTTTGAAGCCAGTTTCCTCATGTGGACAAAACGGGTACCTATCCTGCTCTCGTCTTGCATGAGGATTCGTTATGAGTCCTGACTGAGCCCACCAGATGTTGAGGAATTGTCAGAATCTGATTGTACATACCGTAGCTGGACCCTCTCTCATCTGCAAACAAGAATCCTACTCCTGACAGCGTTTCTAGAAACAACATGCCTTTGCTAGGCTCAGCATCCGGACTCCCTAAACCAGGGGCCCTGGATACATAGCACATGATCAGCATCCTGCAGGAGCTCCTGGAGATGAGGGTATGACTCAAGTCACCTGTGCCTCAGTTTATCTAAGTGAGAGGCAGCCCCCTCGGCCTGACCCTGTGCCTTGCGGGACCATGGCAAGCACACTGGCAATCTTGGTTTGCTGCGGAGGGCAGGCTGTAACGTTAGCCTAAGCAGAAGATAATTGGGAAGGTCAGCTTGCTGCCGTAAACAAAATGCTTTCCACAACCTGGGATCAATTATTTTTGGATTATCTGCCTCCTCAAGTTCTCTGCCAGCCAGCACCCTTTTGTTCCCGGGTCCCAGAACGGGTTCAGAAGTTGCTTGGAATGTCTGTGAAAATGAGTTGGAAGGAAGGGCTGAAATCATAAGACATTGAGCCTCTGGGATACGTTGTTCAGAGTTCAGGGGGGCATGGAGTAACAATAATTGTTACTACTCATAGTGCTAATTACTAAATAGTAATCATTGCTTTTGTTGATTGGGCTCTTGCAGTAGGCCAGGCGTTGTGCTAAGTGTTTTATTTGCACCATCTCTTGTGATCTTCACACGATCTGTGGAGGGCAGGCGAGGGCAGGTGCTTTTGTCCAAGGTGGATAATTTGGCTGGGATTGCTTGGCTGGTGAGCTGCAGAGCCCTGTGACCCTGGGGTGGCCCCATCGCTAGGGGGAAACACCGGGAGTGGTAGGAGGACAGAGCTCGAGGCCCGAATACGGCAGAGCAAAGAAAGAACAAGGACTCTGGAGCCAGACAACTTGGGTTTAAATCCCGGCTTTACCGCTTACAACTGTGAGGTCCTGGGGAAGTCACTTAATGTCTCGGGGCCTTCGCTTCCTTACCTGTAAAATGAGGATAATGGCAGTACCTGCCTCACAGAGTTGGTGTGAGGGTTCATTGTGTTAGTACTTGCAAAGCACTTAGAACATACCTGGCCCAGGTTTTCAAGAATCTCGCTCACCCTTGTTCCCATGGGACTACTTTGGTAAGGGTTAACTGATTTCTTTTTCTTTTTTTTTTTTTTAAGTTATCTCTATACCCAACGTGGGGCTTGAACTTACAACCCCACCATCAAGAGTTGAACGCTCTACCCACTGAGCCAGCCAGCCAGGCGCCCCAGGGGTGAACTGATTCCAAAGAGTGTGATTCCAGAGGTGATAGAGTCAGAGCTCGGGAAGAACCCTCCTATCAGAGGAAGTGTTGGGAGCAAAGTTACAAAATGGGAAATTTAGGGTCTCAGGGAAAGGTGGCGGGGCAGGTGTGGCTGGAGTTGAGGGTGTGTAGGGAGCAGTTGAGAAAGGTGAATCTAGTCAGGTAAGGTGTTGCTTGGCTTTGACTGGCTGTTTCGGAAATCTGAATTCTTGTGTAGGCAGTAGGAGGCATTAAGGTTTTGGAGGAGAGGAGTTGTGTGATGAATTCTAGAATAATCTTGATGATGTTACTACTATTTACTAACCACTAGATATGAATGACCCTGGACCCTTTTCTTTCATTCTTATTTTATCCTCAGATCAACTCTTTTTTTTTTTTAAGTTTATTTATTTATTTATTTTTTTTTTTCAACGTTTATTTATTTTTGGGACAGAGAGACAGAGCATGAACGGGGGAGGGGCAGAGAGAGAGGGAGACACAGAATCGGAAACAGGCTCCAGGCTCTGAGCCATCAGCCCAGAGCCTGACGCGGGGCTCGAACTCACAGACCGCGAGATCGTGACCTGGCTGAAGTCGGACGATTAACCGACTGCGCCACCCAGGCGCCCCTAAGTTTATTTATTTTTGAA